CTTAATTTTTTGGTGCGATGGTAAATGGAATTGCTTTTTTAGTCCCTGTTTCTGTAAGTTCACTATTGGTGTATAGAAATGCCATAGATTTCTTGGTGTTAATTTTGTATCCTTCTACATTGCCAAATTCATTTATTAAATCTATTAGTTTTTTGATGGAGTCTTTTGGGTTTTTTTTTTATCTACAATATTATGTCATCTGCAAATAAGGACAATTTTCCTTCTTCTTTTCCAATTTGGATGCCTTTTATTTCTTCTTACTGTCTAATTGCAATGACTAGTCGTTCTAGTACTATGTCAAACAGGAGTGGTGAGAGTGGGCATCCCTGTCTTGTTCCTGTTTTTAGAGGGAATGGTTTTAGTTTTTTCCCATTGAGTATGATGTTTGCTGTGGGTTTATCATATATAGCTTTTATTATGTTGAGGTATGATCCTTCTATTCCTACCTTGTTGAGACTTTTTATTAGGAAAGGGTGTTGGATTTTATCAAATGCTTTTTCTGTATCAATTGATATGACTATATGATTTTTATCTCTCAATTTGTTTATGTGATGTATCACATTTACTGATTTGCGGATATTGTACCATCCTTGCATTCCTGGAATAAATCCTACTTGGTCATGGTGTATGATCTTTGTGATGCTCTGCTGGAGCCGATTTGCTAGAATTTTGTTGAGGATTTTGGCATCTATGTTCATGAGGGATATTGGCCTATAATTCTCTTTCATTGAGTTGTCTTTATCTGGTTTTGGTATTAGGGTTATGCTGGCTTCATAGAAGAAATTTGGAAGTGTTCCTTCCTCTTGAATTTTTTGGAATAGTCTGAGGATAGGTTTTAGTTCTTCCTTGAATGTTTGGTAAAACTCTCATGTGAAGCCATCTGGCCCTGGGCTTTTGTTTGCTGGAAGCTTTTTATGACTGTTTCAATTTCTTCCAAAGTCACTGGTCTATTGAGATTTTTAGATTCTTCCTGATTGAGTTTGGAAGGTTATATTTTTCTAGGAATATGTCCATTTCCTCCAGGTTGTCCAGTTTGCTGGAACAGAGTTGTTCGTAGTATTTTGTAACAATCCTTGTATTTCGGCAGGGTCTGTTGTTTCTGATTTTGTTTATTTGGGTTCTCTCTCTTTGTTTCTTGGTAACAAATTATCTAACTCTACAACTCAAAGAGTTAGAAAAAGAGCAACAAGAAAATCAGTGAGGACAGGGAGTGTTGCAGCCTCGCCCGGGACAGCCCAGGTGGCCATGAGAGCTGCATGCATCCCGCAGGTGGTCGCTTGCTGGCCCTGGAAATTGTCAAGGGGGCTGAGAAGCTGATGGTTTATGTGAAACAGTGGCTGGGCTCATGGCTGCCATGCTGACTGCGTGTCCAGGGACTCATGGTAATCACACATGCAGACAGCAGCCTCCTTGGCCTCCTTGGCTCCCAGCCATACCTTTGGGTGAGGCTGAGGGGGAAGGCGGATTGTGCAGACGTGGCTGTGGGCCAGGCTCCTCACAGGTTCTCAGACAAGAGGTCTGGAGCGAGCTGCTGGGCTGCGACTTCTGTCCCCTGCATGCACATTGTGTTCACAGGAACAATTCCCACCATGTGTGATAGAGAGAAGTCTCAGTGACAGAATAGAAAATCTAGGTATTATGATGTTGTATTAGAGAGAGAAAGAGATAGAGAGAGAAAGAGAGAGAGAGATGATTTAATGAGCAGAATGATAGCAAGAAAATACTGCAGAGCAAGAGCAACCTATTTGCTGGTGTCTGTGTGTGGACTCCTTCCTGTAGCCCTCATGTTGCCTGCGGGGGCACAGCAGAGCTTCCCCAAAGGTTCCTGGACTCCTCCTCCTTGGAGGCCCCTCAGCCTGAGATACCAGCACCAGGCCCCTCGACCCCTCCCCCAGGAGCACCAGACCTCTCGGCCCCTCCCCCAGGCGCACCAGGCCTGTGGGCCCTTCTGTTTGGTCATCGCTGGATGCCCTGGAGTGAAAAAATCCCAAGGCTGTTCAGACACACCAGGCGCTGTTCGGGCCCTTGTTTGGCTGCACTGTTAGGAAACTTTCTTGCTCACATTCATTCTCCTTTTGCTTATCAACAGTAAACTCTGTGTATGGCGTGTCCCTGGGTAGAAATGAAGCAGTAACACATGCTTTCCAGTTGCTACTGGTTGTGGCCCCCAGCACGTGTGTGTGCATGCGCGCACACACACACACACAAACACCCCTGGTGGGAGCTGTCCTGTCTATGGTAATGGCGTTGCTTGTTTAGGACGTTCTTTGAGTCTAAGGAAGGCACTTGCCTGCGGAGCTCCCCTTTGAGTGCATACATACAGCACAGCTGAGGAGGTGGGAGGCCCTGGCAACCCCTGCTGTGGCAGCAGCCTCCTGACCAGGAGCTCCTCCCTCAGGAACCCCAGCTCCTGCTGAGAAATTTCTGGAGCTTCTGGGCCAGCCCACTTGCTGTCAGGTGCGAACCTCTGGTCCCGCAGGCCCTGGCCTCCTGTTGCCCAGTCCCCGTGTGTCCCTGCGCCCAGCCCCGTGGCCCGCCTCTGCTTGGCCTTGGTGCTGCAGGCGCACAGGGTGCAGGCTCGGCTTCTCCGTGCCTCTCTGTGCTCACCGCTCACTGCCCAGGGTCTCGCCCTCATTTCCTCAGCCCCGTGGGCAGGTCTGGGGGAAAGAATATACCAGAGGAAACTGAAAGCAGTGCTCCATCTCACCATTGAACCTCTGCCTCTGCCTGTGTCACGTGAGACTCTGCTGTTCACCGGCCACAGCATGATCCCTCATGGCGTGTTGGCTCGGGACACTACTGGACGCTGTGGGGACCAACGGCAGGTCACCCAGAGGGCAGGCTTCTGGCAATGTCCTGGCCGTGGTGACGCCTGTGCTGAGTGTTTAAGGAAATGGAGGAAGAGAGAATGATGAATGGGCTTCCGGGAAGGGAGGATGAGCAGAGGGGGGCACTGAGGGGTCGTGTCCTGCAGGGCTCGAGGCACATGGCCTGGAAGGTTCCTGTGGGAACAGCCCTGCACTCAGCCACAAAGGCCTGTCCCGGTCCCTCACCAGCTCTTCCTCTCTGTCTGGGGCTTGGAGCCGGCCCTGGTTGCCAGGGGTATGTCCCAATGGCACAGGGGACTCCAGGCCCTGCGAGGCAGGGAGTATAAGCAAATATTCAGCGAACAACAGGTCAATAAAGAAAACAAACATGATGGATTTATAGGAAAAGGTGGAGGAGACTACTTGGATTCAATGTTTACAAAGTTAAGTGGGATACACTGCCCTGGGTACATCGAGTCAGAGAGCCTGCACTTTATCCAGCAGGGACTTAGTTTTTATTGTAAACTAGAGGCCTGTTGCATAAAATTCATGCAGGGAAAGGTGGTGTCCCTCAGACCAGCCTGCACCCTCTCCAAACTGGGACCCCTCAAGGAATGTCTGACTGCCCGTTTAGGCCTGATCCCACTGGCTGCCTGCTTGTCTTCCTGATTGCCCCTAACCACTTCTGCCTGCCAGCCTGATCATCCCCTAACCACTCCCCTGCCAGCCTGATTGATGTCTAATTGCCCCCCTGCCAGCCTGTTTGCCTCCGATAACCCTTCTCTGCTGGTCTGGTCACCCCTAATTGCCCTCCCCTGCAGGGTTGATCATCCCCAACTGCCCTCCCTTGCAGGCCTGGTCCCTCCCAACTGCCCTCTCCTGTTGACTATCCTGTGGTGGCCATCTTGTGTCCACATGGGGGCAGGATCTTTGACCACATGGGGCAGCCATCTTGTGTGTTGGAGTGATGGTCAATCTGCATATTACTCTTTTAGATAGGATGACGCATTTTTCTTTGGGTCAAAAACAAAGGGATGGGCCCAGACCGGTGTTGCTCAGTGGATAAGGTGTTGCCTTGAGGACTGAAGGGTCCCAGATTCCCTTCTCTCTGAAATCAATAAACATGTACACAAAACCACAAAGGAATAGGAATTCTTGGTAGTGAGCTAAGGGCTCCTTGGTCTCCCACTCAGAACCATCCCTGACCGGGCATCCACTTTATTGTTTTAACATCTGTCTCCACATAGTTGCAGAATCGGTCTTTTTCTTTTTTGTTGAATTTCCTGGGGTGCCATTGGTTAATAGAATTATGTAGTTTCCAAGTGTACAATTCGATATACATCCTCTGCATATTGTATTGTGTATTTACCCGCTCTCCCACCCCCACCCCCCTTTCCGTCTGGCCAGTAATGACTCCTGTCTGCATCTATGAGCTTTTGCTTCTCTTTCCTGCTTAATCCCCTCACCCTTCACCCAGCCTCCCAGCCTCCCTCCCCTCTGTCAGCTGTGAGTCTGTTCTTGGGATCTATGAGTCTGTTTCTATTTTGTTTGTTAGTTTATTGTTCATTAGAGACATAAATGTTAGACTCAAAACCATAAAACTCTCAGACATTGCTCGTGACCATATTTTTTCCTGAGATGTCTCCTCGGGCAAGAGAAGCAACAGGAAAAGTAAGCAGATAGGAGCACACCTCACTGACATGTTTGCACGGCCCGGAAGCCATCAGCAAACGGCCCTCTGTGGGGCACTGTGGGAGCAAGTGGACGGGCGGGCAGTGGCCACATGGCAGGGCCTGGGCTGCACCCCCTCCCCTGGGGAAGGGGAAGGTTGGGTGTAACCTTGGTGCCAGGATGAGTGCTTTTACGTTATCTTGAAGCCCCTGTGGGTCAGCGCTGGGAGGTGACAGGGGCCCCTGAGGGTCAGCGCTGGGAGGTGACAGGGGCCCCTGTGGGTCAGCGCTGGGAGGTGACAGGGGCCCCTGTGGGTCAGCGCTGAGAGGTGACAGGGGCCCCTGTGGGTCAGCGCTGGGAGGTGACAGGGGCCCCTGTGGGTCAGCGCTGGGAGGTGACAGGGATCCCCGGGATGGTGGGGGCAGGAGTCTTGCTGTCCGGGGTGTGTGAAGTCTCAGCCTCAGTGCTGGCCCAGCGGGCCCTGGCGACACTGACACCGACACCTCCTGTGCTTGGTTGCAGGACCAGTGGTTCTGGCGGGTGAGGAACAACAGGGTCATGGACGGGTACCCCATGCAGATTACTTACTTCTGGCGCGGCCTGCCTCCGGGGATCGACGCAGTGTACGAAAACAACGAGGGCAACTTCGTCTTCTTCAAAGGTGAGGCAGCCCCGCCCTGCTCCGCTGTACGCGGGCCACGTCCAGGGCCCTGACGCCCTCAGAGAGGTGACCGGCAATCCTGCTGGGTGGGAGGAACCACTTATGATGCCTAGAAACACAAGTGAAGTGAAATTTTAATTCTTTCAGTTGCGTTTTTCCATGTGGTATCCCATGTAGAAGTCAAATTTGTAGACTTCTTAGATTTTGCTTAAAAGCACCAAAAAAAGTAAAATGGATGGCTGAATGAATGAATGATTTAAAAGCCATTTTTTGCTCTGATCAGCGGTTCAGTGGTTAGAGCATAAGTCGGCACACAGAAGGGCCCCAGGTTCAGTTCTGGTCAAGGGCATGTATCTAGGTTGTAGGTTCAATCCCACATGTGGGAGGCAACCAACTGATGTGTCTCTGTAACATCCATGCTTCTCTCTCTTCCCCTCTTCCTCTCCCTCCCTCCCATTTGCTCTAAAACAAATGAATGCCCAGCCAATGTGGCTCAGTGATTGAGCATCAACCCATGCACCGAGAGGTCCCAAATTTGATTCCCAGTCAGGCCACATGCTGAGTTTTGGGGCTCAATCCCCGGATTACAGGGGAGGGGGGAAGATGTGCAGGAGGTAGCCAATTGATGTCTCTCTCATCAATGCTTCTATCTCTCTCTTCCTTTCTCTCTAAAAAAAATAAAAACATTTAAAAGGAAAAAAAAATCCTACTTTAAAATCAATGGAAGAAACACCTTCCAGTGAGGATTAACAACAACAAACCAACCAACAAAAAGACGCTACACAAGCTACACCCACCACTCAGGTCAACAGCAAAGACTATATCCCACAGGAAGGAGTGACTCCTTTGTGAGCAATCTCCTAGTTTATTGAAAACTATCCTATATAATAAAGAGGTGATATACAGATTGACCATCACACCCTCACACAAGATGGCCTCCCCCTTGTGGTCACAAGATGGCAAGCAGGAAAGAGTAGTTGGGAGGGAGGGGTGTCAGGCCTGCAGGGGAGGGTAGTTAGGGGCAACCAGGCAGGTAGGGGAGGGCAGTTAGGGGTGACTCGGATTCTTTATGAAATAAGGGGTTTGGGTTTCTTCTTAAAAGACTTTTTGGGTCACTTGCTATTTTATACAATGAAATCTATTTTATTTCTCAGACTTTGCATTATTTAGTCAGTATGTTAAAATTTGTGCACTGGGGGTAAAAGGGTGTCCCTCAGCCCAGACTGTACCCTCTCCAATCTGGGACCCCTCAAGGGATGTCTGACTGCCTGTCCAGGCCTAATTCCACCAGGCAGTCAGACATCCCTCTCACAATCCAAGACTGCTGGCTCCTAACGGCTTGCCTGCCTGCCAACCTGACCTATCCCTAACCACTCCCCTGCCAGCCTGATCAATGCTTAAATGCTCCTCTGCTGGCCTGGTCTCTCCCAACTGCCCTCCCCTGCTGGCCTGGTCACTCCTAACTGCCCTCCCCTGCAGGCCTGGATCCTTCCAACTGCCCTGCCTCCCCTACAGGCCTGGTCCTTCCCCCCTGCAACTGCCCTCTCCTGCCAGCCATCTTGTGATGGCCTTCTTTTGACCACATGGGGTAGGCCATCTTGTGTGAGGGTGTGATGGTCAATTTGCACATTACCTCTTTATTATACAGGATAGTTTATAGTAAACTAGGAAATCACGCATAAAGGATTCACTCCATCTTGTGGGATGTATTCTTTGCTGTTGACCTGAGTGGTGGGTGTTGCTTGTGTAGCTGCTCAAGGCCTGCATGCAGGGGTGAGCTCAGAGGACTGGTCTGCCACCCCCAGCACTTGATCTGCTCAGAACAATAACACTCAGGTCTGTGGGACTGGGCAGAGCCTAGCAGAGCCAACCCTAGGAGCCAAGTCCAAACCTATGGGACTGCTATGTCGCCAGGACCCAGAGGACAGAAATGAGATTAAACAGGCCATGAAAAGGGTTCTGAGCAGCAGCAGCAGCAGCAGCAGCAGCAACAGCAGCAGCTAGCCAGTATCCTCAGGGCCAGTGTGTGTAGTGAGGGCGGGGAATGAAATGTGGCCTTTGAGACACTGGGTTAAGTGAGGCTGAACTTTCAGGCAAAGGCAAGAGTCCTTACAATTTATTCTGTCTTCCCGGACTCTCCCTTAATGAATGGGGGATGGTCTGGCCTCAGCTGAGAGGACATAGGGATTGGCCTCAGCTCTGAGGACACACAGGGTCCAGCCTGAGCTATAAGGACACAGAGCTGCAGTCAGACACAGTTTCACACGCTGACTGGCCCTGTGAAGTGGTCGAGTTACTTGCTCCCTGTGCCTCAGTTTCTCCATTGGGAACGTAGTTGGCATTCTTCTCTGGGATCAGCTGAGCATCAGCTGGGATGTGTGCCTGCGTGGTGCCTGTTCGGCTCATGAGTGCCCAGAAGCTCTGCCCTCCTGTGAGAGAGGATGCTGTGTCTGTGATGGGGAAGCCCTCCCCCACTTTTCTTTGTCTCCTGAGCAGCAGGAAGAGGGGTTCTCAGCCTGCTTCTTTGCTGGCGGCCGGCAATGTCCCTGACCCTGTGCTGGCTCTCACTGCCTGCCCCCTTGATAAACATTTTTTAAACTCCATTTGACCCTTTTCCATGTAGGAATAAGCATTTAATTTAAAAATTCTTCATGGGATTTTTTGCTTAGTGTCTGGCCCCTCTGCCGGTCCTTCAACTGCACTGGAGCAAGCACTTGAGTATTTCCGTCATTTAGTCCACAGCTCCCACAGTGATGGACTGTACTAGACTTTTAGTGGACAGATATCAGATGGATGGATAGATGGATGGATGGATAGATAGATGATGTGTGGATGGATAATGGATGAATGGATGGATGGATGGTGGATGGATAGATGATGGGTAGATAGATGGATGGTGGGTGGATGATGGATGGATGGATGGATGGATGGATGGATGGATGGATGGATGGATAATGGATAGATGTATGATGGATGAATGGATAGATGGATGGTGGATGGATAGATGATGGGTAGATGGATGGATGCATGGATGGGTAAGTGGATAGATGAGTGGGTGCATGGGTGGATGGATGGATGGGTGGTGGATAAATCGGTGGATAATGGATAGATGGAAGATGGATGAATAGATGGATGGATGGTGGATGGATAGATGATGTGTAGATGGATGGATAATGGATGGGTACCTGGATAGATAAATGGGTGGGTAGGTGGATAGATGGTGGATGGATAGGTGGGTGGATGGATCTCACTAAAGAATTACTGGAGTACATAATCTGCAATGTCCTCTCCAGCCCCAAACATTACAAGTAAGGCTGTTTGTATTATTTATAACATCTCTGTCTTTAATCAGGCCTGACCTTTTCCTCTACTTTCTTCCCAGTACAGTGTCAGTGGGAGCAGCTTGTTACACTTGCTCCTGACTATGGCAGCTCCTATGAATTCAGGAAATGCCTCCCCTTGCCAAGGAGGCGATATTTTCCTAGAGAACTAGACGGCAAGGTGGTACAATTCACATCTCCTATGTATGTTGGCTGGTGATTTTCTGCCTGCTTTGTTTTTAAAAGAGAATATAAGTGCATTTTTAAAATCCTCCGGGTTTGCTCCTAGCAGGAAAAAAAGGGGGGATTGATATCTTCTGTAGTGGAAGTCTGATTGTTTCCCCCAGCACAGATGGAAAACACCTGCAGTCCAAGGAAATATTTGCAAAACACATTAAGAAAAAAAAATGGGTTTTATACTATAACTAGAGGCCCAATGTATGAAATGTGTGTGTGTGTGTGTGTGTGTGTGTGTGCGCGCGCGCACGTGCATGCACCTGTACCGTCTCCAATTTGGGACATCCCTGTCACAATCCAGGACTGCTGACTCCCAACTGCTTGCCTGCCTGCCTGATTGTGCCTAACTGCTTCTGCCTGCCAGCCTGATCACCCCCTAACCACTCCCATGCCAGCCTGATCAATATCTAACTGCTCCTCTGCCGGCCCAGTTGCCCCAAACTGCCCTCCCTGCTGGCCTGATCACCCCTAACTACCCTACCCTGCTGGCCTGGTCACCCTTAATTGCCCTACCCTGCCAACCTGATTGCCCCCAACTGCCCTCTCCTGTAGGCCTGGTTGTCCCCAACTTCCCTCCACTGCTGGCCTGATCACCCACAACTGCCCTCCCCTGTAGGCCTGGTCCCCCTGAACTCCCCTTCCTTGCTGGCCTGGTTGCCTCTAACTACCCTTCCCTGCAGGCCTTATTGCCTTCAAATGCTCTCCCCTGCAGGTCTGGTCCCCCATAACTGCCTTTGCCTGCTGGCCTGATCACCCACAACTGCCCTCCCCTTCAGGCCTGGTTGTTCTTAACTGCCTCCCCTGCAGGCCTCGTTGCCCCTAACTGCCCTTCCCTGCAGGCCTGGTCACCCACAACTGCCCTCCCCTGCTGGCCTGATCACCCACAACTGCCCTCCCCTACCACCCATCTTGTGGCAGCCAAATTTGACCACATGGGGGTGGCCATATTGTGTGTTGGAGTGATGGTTAATTTGCATATTACCTCTTTATTAGATAGGATTGTATAGGATAAGAATTTCCTGGCAGAACTGTCACCATCTCCTTTCTCAGACCCTGGCATCTCTTGCAATGCCTGGACAGCAGGCCAATGGAGCTTCTGTGTGCTTTTTCTCATGCTCTCACCCCAGGGGACCTCATGCTCCCTGATGGCAGCCGTGACAGGAAACAGGTGGAGGTTCCTTATCCCCCGCTGTTCACTTCTGGGTATTTATCCAAAGTCTGTGAAACACTAATATGAAAAGACATATGCACCAATGCTCATTGCGGCATTATTTACAACTAGAGGCCCCATGCACAACATTCATGCACGGGCTTTGGCCCTAGCCCCTGCCCACTGCCATGGCCGGAGACCTCTGCCACCTCTGCCGCAGCCCCTGCTGCAGTGACTTCGTCCAGAGGAAGGACGTCCAGGCTAATTAGCATTTACACTTTTATTATAGGTCACCATGGTATACATACAAGCCAACTAAGTGTCCAATGATTGATAAATGGATATATAAATGCTACTCAATCATAAAAACAGGATGAAATCTTACCATTTGCAGCAACACTGATAGTCCTAGAGTGCATTATGCTCAGTGAAATGAATCAGAGAGAGAAAAACAAACACTGCTTATTCCACATGTGTGTGCAATCTACAATGCAAAACAGAGCAAAAGTCATAGACACAGAGCACAGGCTGGTGGCTGCCAGAGTGGAGGAGGGTTGGGAGTTGGCTGCTTGGTGCCGAAGGTCAAGGAGTCCAAACCGCCAAGGACAAGCCAGTGCGTCCTGGTGCCGGTAGCACGTGGCTGCATTCCTGCACTGTGCACACATGGAAGGTCTCCGACAGCACATTGAAGAGTGCTCACTCATCACAAGAAAGAGAAAGCTGTAATGTAACTAGACTCATTGTGGGGCCATTTCCCAGCTTATACAGATGTGTAAGCATTACACTGTACACACACTAATATCGATTCCATGTCAAATAGACCTCAGTACAAAACCAGGTGAGGTGGAGAATGGCTTCTCCGGAAGGCGCTGGCGATCAGATCAGGCAGCGGGTGTTAGCAGGTGCAGGGAAGGGAGGGGGGTCACGGGAGCGGAGCTGTGGCGGGAGTGTGGCAGCCCCGGGTAGGGCTGCAGGCTGTGTTGTCTGGAGGTCATTCCAAAGCAGCAATAGACGTCCTGCCGTGTGCCTTCTCTCTAGCACTGTGCATGCTCCTCCCCTCAGGAACTCTCACACGGAGGGAGGGAGTCCGCTAGACACACGGCTGAGGTTTAAGACTTCGGGGTTATGGATGCTGATTGTGAAGGGAAGGGGTGGCCTCAAGGCACTGTTATCTCAGAGAAGCACATGTAGTGGGCTCAGTGTCTGAGGGGGCCATTGGGAAACCAGCAGCCTTGGATCCCTGGACAGAGCATCCGAGATCCTGGGTTCAGAGCGGTGGCACGGTGGCAAGCTGTAGGTCTTTGTCTCTTAGATTAGTCCCCCATGCTGATTGGGTTCTTAAATAGTCATCACTGCATCCACATTCAGAAATAACAGGGATGTTTCAGAAATAGTGTCCGGGTTCCAGATGTGAGCGCAGCAAAGCCGACTGTGGGTTTCACATTCAGAGGCATTGCCGCTGGGGGCTCTGATTTCTGACCCGAATCAGCGTGTTGTGCACATGTGCTTACTTCCACAGGCAACAAGTACTGGGTGTTCAAGGACACGACGCTGCAGCCCGGCTACCCTCACGACCTGGTCACTCTCGGGAGCGGGATCCCCCCGCACGGCATTGACTCAGCCATCTGGTGGGAGGACGTTGGGAAAACCTATTTCTTCAAGGGGAACAGGTTAGTGGTTAGCGAGGGGGGGGCATTCTCTAGCCTACTGCAGGCATGCCCTGTGGTGTGAAGAGATCAATTATTGAAATCTGGAACCGAAATGTTTTTAACATATTTTACAATAACAGGCGGCATCAGTCTCCCTCTCTCAAAGGAGACATATTTGTGAGCCTCAGTGTGTGGCCTGTGCCTGTGTCTCCTCTCTGTGGCCTCTCCAGCCGGGAGCTGAGGCGACCGAGTGGCCTTGCCGCCCCAGGCAGTGCATTTTCTTATCATTTTACTTCCCTTGGTTCAAAAGTTATTTTTAGCAAAAGCTTTCTTCCTTAGGGTGCATATTTACAATACTTACCACTTTTAACATTTTTCATATTTTATATATTTTTTAGGGAAAAATATTGAGAAACTGAGAATGTATTTGACTTCACTTATCTCTACCTCCTATTGGCATCTTTCTGCGAAAAACTGGGACGAGGAGCTGACCCTCATAATACAGCCGAGGGTGCTGTGGCCCCGCTCACCGCTCAGCATCTCCTCACCACTCTGGGCAAGGCTCAATGGCCATGTTTCACGCTAAGCTTAACCTTGGAGAAACTCAAGATGTTTTCTATTATTTTGTTTCTATTATTGTGGATTACACTAACGTCACACAGAAAAGCACACTCACTTTTTCTTGTGGTGAGAACCTGGGATACGCGGCCTGCCCATCCTGGCCCTTCCTGGGGCCACCTCTCCTCCGGCCCCTCAGAGGGCCCAGGAGCCCCTCAGCGGGCGGCTGGTAGGAACCACAGCAGAACCCTCCCCAGAGCCCCAGCCCGTGGACAAAGGACCCCACCACCATCCTGGCCCAGAAAATAACCAGAACATAATTTTTTCATGGTTCTAGCCAAAACAGTTCCAAGTTCATGCACGAAGTGTGTGATTTCCCAAACCTGTTTGTCACTCTAGTCTCAGCCGATTGGTCAGGGTGTTTGGAAATGGTTGTCAGTGAATTTGGGGAACATTCACTGCATGTGGGAAACGGTGGACGTTACAACCAGACAGGACTGGCTGCCACGTGCCTGTTGGTCATCCTCCTCCCAGCGCCCTCCTCCACCCAGGAACATTGGACCCATCTGAGGGATGTGCTGTGTCACCACGTCATGCCTAGAACATTCCATTTGCCCTGAAATAGGCGAGTTTATTGTTGATCCTTAGAACACCCCAGACATCAGTTTGTGAGGCTGAGAACGTAGGGGTCGGGGGCTTAGTCGCCCCTCCGATGCCGCAGTTCTGAGGCCGTCCTGACGTTGCCTCAGTCTTTCTGTCCATCCGCCCTGAGGGCTCGCAGAGCTGTTGTGGGGTGTGCACCAGGCCCTGAACTCAGACACCCAGGGCCAGACTCAGGGCTCAGCCCCTCCCCCAGAGCCCGCCCTATGGCACTGCAGAGCCAGGCTCTCTCCCCATGGCCAGGCCCCAAATCCCAGAGCTGCCTTCACCTTCCCTCACTCGCACATCCCATCCACCAGTCAGTCCAGGGCTGCAAGAAACCATATTCCTTCCCTTCAGTTACCAACAAACCCTCCCCCCCCACCTCCCTGGGCCGTGCAGCTGGCCTCACGGGTGCCCTGTGCCCGGCGGCTCCTCCAGCTGTGAGCCCACAGCAGCCTGTCCCTGTGAAAAGGAAGCCAGAAGCCTCTGCTGTTCTGTAGCTCCGCCTCCCTGCAGGGCACCCACTTGGCTGGGGCGGGAGGATCTGTCTGATCTCTGAGGCTGGCCCACAGGCCAACCCCAGCCCCTTGTGCTACCTGCATCCTGGCCGCTGGGCATAGGGCGCCAGGCTTGTTCCTGCCAAGGAACTCCCCCGCAGCTTCAATGCCACCTGGAATGCCCTCCCCCAAAGCACCCCCTGCCGCTGCTCACTTCCCCCCGTGTGTCAGGCACTGGGAGGGGCTGACCCGTTCCTGTTCCTGGGTAATGGCCTCTGCCTTAGCGCCTCACTGGCTCCTTGCACCTGGGGCCGCACACGGAGGCGGAGAACAGTGTCCCTTCCTCCACTTGCGCCCCCAGCACCCACAGCACCGCAGCAGGCGCTCAGCTTTGCTGAAGGAATCAGTGGATCAGGATTCTGCTTGAGATCATTTCCCAAAAAACTGTTCTGCTGCCTTAGGAAGATTTTTAAAAAATGCATAGGTTGATGCTCCCCTTTTGAGTAGTAAATGTAATTTTTATTGACTGCAGCAGGCTGACTGAATACACAAGAACATACCCAGTTTTCACCGACACGGGGAGGAACAGAATCTGTGCTTTGGTCCCGCTGGCCTCCCAGGGGCAATGTCAGCTCTGGAATGGCCACAGGGCCCGGGGGCAGGCAGCGAGGGGGCTGTCCCTGACGCATGCTGTTGTTTCTGCCGTTGGCAGGTACTGGAGGTACAGCGAAGAAATGAAGACCATGGACCCCGGCTACCCCAAGCCCATCACCGTCTGGAAGGGCATCCCCGACTCCCCGCAGGGAGCCTTCGTGCACAAGGAGAACGGTAGGCGCAGGCGGCCGCCCCTCGTGGGCGCGCTCAGCCACCGCGGGCCGGTCATAGGACGCGCCTGTGGGCTGCATTCATCCCCGTGTGTGCGAACGGCCCTTTCTTTGAGCTACATTTTGCATTCTGCTCCAGATGTTCTCTTTACCTTATTTTATTATAGTTTACACAAGAAAAAGGAAAGTTCTTTTTTAAAAGGGGGTTGTCATTGGTTTTTTTTATTAAAGTCCATGTGACAATAATAACACACTGTGGGCAGGAGCTGGTCGCGGAGAAGGTAGGTGTAAGGGTGTTATTTCCACGCGTGTCGTCAGCTGAGATCCTCAGCAGACCAGGGGCCACTCAGATGTCAGGCCTGATCAATTACCAATGCGCAGCAGCAAGAGTGGCCCTACCCCCTGGGCCCCCTCAGGGTCTGAGATCAGCGGGTCCCAAAGGAAGCCAGCCAGGCGATGAGCGGTCCACGCCCCAATGCACATGCCACGCTGAGCACTTCTCACCTTGGACACTAACTAGGACTAAAGGGCAACGATAATAATTCAAAGTGCAGTCACACACAGTGTCCCGGAACAAGGGGAGGGGAAGAAATAGCACCTGAAGTAGCAGAAAGAAGCTCCCATCGCGTGGTTTACCACCGGACATAGGAGGGGGGTCCCCTGTGGGTCCAGAATCCAGGAAAGTCTGACTTTCCCACAAGAACCAACGCTCATCGCCTGCAAGATCAGCACTGCCTTCCCCCCAAGCTAAACTTCCTGCGGAGAAGAACACCTCCCGTATACTCAGGAATTAATGTTTTCCCTCAGCAAAGAATAACAAATACTGACAGAGACACAGGCATGTTGGGAAAATCTCTGCCTACAAGTGAGCGAACAGGTGCACCCTCAGCACATCTGTGTCTCCTGGACCGGCCCGCCCCGCCCCAGGGCATCACTCAACAGCTCGCTTCTCATCTCCAGGGACCCTCCTGGAGCACCTCTTCCGAGGCCTGATCCTCGCACTCCCTGCCCGCACCACCTCAAAGGCGGTCCCTGCTGACGCGTGGATGTGAGCTGCTGAAATCACTGTCAGCCTGCCCTCACCCCAGAGCCACTCTGGTCTGCACCCTGGTGCTGTCCGCCAACATCCGAATGGGAGCTCTCAGGCTCATCTCCCACGGCCGCCTCTGTTTCCATCCTCTGCTCAGTGTCATCCTGTGGCTTCTTACCCTAAACGCTGCTTCTGTTGTGTTCATCTGAAAGAGCAGCTCGGATGATGCAGTAACCTGTTTGCATTTACACTCGGACCCCAGGTGCCTCTCTCTGACTCAGCCCGTGCGGGTGGATACCTTCCCGAGCTTTTGTCTCCCTGCCTCCCTCCCTCCCATGTAGCCTTTCTCCCTCCGATTCTCTCCTAATGGTAATTATGTTTAACGTCCTTAAAACCCAGCCACATGTTTTTGAAGGCTGCGTTAAAGTGGACTATGCCATCCAGTCACACATCCTGGCATTAAGTCTGCACCTCGGGTGATGAAGTAGGACCGCTTACGCCACTTGCTGAGCGCCTGCCTCCATGCAGCCATGGTGCTTATGGGCTCATTGTCTCCTGACTGTCCAACACAAGCACCTCTTCCCCTCATTGTGGCGCCCATAGTGAGGAAAGCATCGCAGCTGGCTGAGGTGACCTGTCACCATCATAAGAGCGGTGAGACGAAGCCGGAACAGCCAGCCTCAAGAAGGTGCTCGGGTCAGTCTCCATCACAGCCTCAGCGATGCGTCCGTGTGGGACCCGTGCTCGCTGTGTCGCCTGAACGAACCAGGCTGTTGGGACGTGGCCTGAGCCATGGCCTCCTGTTTCACCTGTACATCTGATGTAGCAGTCTGCTTATCTTCCTCCTCACTCTCAGCCCAGAAATTACCACACCAATCCAATGACACTGGCTCACCGGAGCGGAGTGGACTGGGCCCTCGCCGTTCCACAGGTGTAAGCAACAGCGAGTTTTCTCCGCTGTTTGTTGTTTTCATCACAGCTGACTTTCAGGGATGGGCCTTACGGAGTGACCCTGGATAGGCCTGCGCCCGGCACCCTGCACAGTCCGTGCAGCAGAGCTGACTGACCCTGCACTGCACTCCCCATCCCGGGAGACTTCGCTCTCAGAGACTGGAGTAACGACTCTGTTTACCCGCTTCAAGGTGTTCCCTGTTAACTGCTCAAAGCCCACTTCCTGGCCATTCCACGTTCTCTCCTTAGTGCAGTGTTTTTTTTGTGTGTGTGTTTTTTTTGTGTGTGTGTGTTTTTGTTTTTAATTCCTCGCCTGAGAACATGTTTTTATTGATTTTAGAGAGAACGGAAGGGAAAGAGAGAGAAACTTCAGTGTGAGAAGTATCGATGGCTGCCTCTGTGCAGGCCTGGCCGGGGTGGAGCCCGCTGCCTGGCTGTGCTCCTGGCAGGAAGGGGAGCCCACAGGCTTTTGGGGTGCAGGATGGCACTCCCACACACTGCACCACCCTGGCCAGGCTCTTAGAAATGGGCTGCTAAGGTTACTGCAGATGCTGCTTTTAACTGTGCTGCATGCATGTGGCCATCACAGCCACGTTTGCCTGTGAATTTCCCAAACAGGATGATTTAGGTTAAATTCTTCTGAAGCAGCTACTCTTAGTAAGCAAGCAGATTACCTCAAATCTACCTCTAAAGGGAAAATGAGTACAAAAACATCTTCTCAACCAACTGACATTTCACAAACCAAAGAACTTCTGCGTTACTGACTGAGGTGAATTGAAAGGGTGGCAGGTTTCTGTTACGAAGACTTTGGGCTGCTTCTCAAGTACATTTATTTCCCTCTAACTGCTCCCTGCTGGACTGCTTGTCTCTAACACTGTCTTCAGTAAACACAGTTCGGCTTCTGCGGTTGGAGTGTGTTACGTAAAATTGGCCTGCAGATCGGATAAACATGAAAATGAAAACTTCTGAATTTCCGCAGGATACCCAGTAGCTCCTAGTAATTGAAAGCTGTTGGCTTCCAGGTTATCAGAAGCCCGTGTGGTGGGTCCATGGAATTCTAGACCAAGGCCGTCATTCCAGCACCCTGGTCCTGGGTCCGGTCCTCGCAGGCCGGCCCCGGGCTGCATCCGCTTGCTGAGTGGCTGCATCGGAGTCACAGCGCCATCAAAGAGCAGCTCCACAGGCACCTCTGCATGGACACGCGTGCTTTCCTGCGGGTGGTCCTGACCCAGTGGTCCTGCACGGAGGCAGAGCACGCGCTCTGGCATTGGCATTGAACACAGCGGCTTCCCCAGCGGAGGGCCCCAGCCGCGGCTGCCGGGCCTGAATCTCCTGAGCGACGTCCAGCGTGTTCCGTCCGTGTGTCTGTCCCAGGGCGCTGTCTGTCACCGCCTGTGCGGTTAGCCGCGGCGTATTTGTTTAGAGACAGGCGCTCTGCCAAGGGCCCGGTCTTAGAAAAAGCATTCGTGTTCAGGACTTGGGAGGCCTGAACTCTGTCTCTGAGCCTCATCTCTTTGCCTGGAAAGTACAGGAATTAGTTCCATTTGACAGAGTAGCTGTAAGGGTTGAAGGTGCCATTTCCAGTTTTTTAGCACAGACTTCTCCCATAGTAAGCGCTCAGTAACAGAGGGAAAGGAAACCCCATTAATGAGCATTAAGTCTAAAGCAGGCATACTGTTCCGAACACACAGCTCCCTAAGTATCGTTTTTTGTAATTATGACATTAAAGCATTCCTGTTGACCTCCTGAATTTTATCTCAAAGTAATAATTAAATGCAGCCCTGGCAGTGTGGCTCAGTCAGTTGGGCATCATTCCATACACAGAGAAGTTGCCTGTTGGATTCCCTATCCAGGCTCACGCCTAGGTTTCAAGCTCATCCCCAGTAGGGGACCGTGCAGGAGGCAGCTGATGGATGTTACTCTCTCACATTGATGTTTCTCTGTTCTTACTTCCTCACTCTTAAAAAAAAAAAAAATCAATAAACTGTTCTTAAAAATAAAAACACGAATTAAATCCAAGAAAGATAGTCACAAAGAAACTTGAGTTGAAGGTGTTATGGACAGGAAGAAAAAACCGGCTATGTGCCAACAAAACCAACAGAAACTTAGAGGCCAGTCCTCTGAGAGACACATGTGTCTGAATTGTCATCCGCTGGGAAAGGCTGCCTTTGCACCCAACGGTCTGGAGCACAGCCACAGGCACTGCCAGACCCAGGGCTCCCCCGTGCCTCCTCCTCCCATGAAATATATGTTAGTTGTTAGAGATAGAACTGTAGATCTACCCATACTCCACATCTCTTTTCTCTCAAAGGATTAGTAATGGCTTTGAAGTTCTGTAAAATTCAGCTAAGTGACATGCATCTAACAGGCAAAGTGGCTGAGGAAGCTGTGAAGTGAGGGCAGAAACAGGAGGCGCAGTGGGGGCCTAGACCTAAAAACAAAGTCCGTCACCAAGCACTAGTGATGCCCGTGGTTTGCTAACATTTCTGGTTCCCATGAGGGAAGGCAGCCCGTGTCTGGGAGGCTCAGGTGGTGAGGAGTCCCTGAGGGGTTTCCTGGAGGAGCCGTTCATCAGGGGTCCTGCCCAGCCATGGCCTGAGGTGGACAGAGCTTCGGGCTGTCAGGGGTAGCCACCTTTTCCATGACGATGGGTGTGGTCACGTGGGTGCCCTCCAGGGCAGACGTGTGGACGGGGTAGAGGCGCTTGGCCTGGTCTCTCTACACCTTTGGCAGGGAGCCCGGCTCCGGGGTTGGGCCTCCCGCTCCGAGCGCACAATCCTAGGCACAGGGTCCTGGGCACACAGCTTGCTGCTCCGTTCAAGCGTTCAGTGGCTGGTTCTTGTATGTGCCCTGACTGTGGATCGAACCACAACCTTGGTGTATGGGGACGACGCTCTAACGACTGAGCCACCGGCCAGGGCTTAGTCTGTCTGATTGTCTACACTCACCCACTTACACAAGTAAGCGTTTCCTCTGTGTTGTTTCCTTCCCACCAGGCTTCACGTATTTCTACAAGGGAAAGGAGTATTGGAAATTCAACAACCAGATACTCAAGGTGGAGCCCGGATACCCCAGGTCCATCCTGAAGGACTTCATGGGCTGTGAGGGACCCACAGACAGACACACAGAAGGACACAGCCCGCCCGACGACGTGGACATCGTCATCAAGCTGGACAACACGGCGGGCACGGTGCGGGCGGTGGCCATCGTGATCCCCTGCATCCTGGCGCTGTGCCTGCTGGCGCTGGCCTACACCGTGCTGCAGTTCAAGCGCAAAGGCACGCCGCGCCACATACTGTACTGCAAGCGCTCCATGCAGGAGTGGGTGTGACGGCGGCCCGCACGCGATCCGGACACGCTGGAGGCCCTCGCTCAGCGGCGGTGCAGCCTGGCCGGCTGACCTGCACCGCAGGCCGCTGGTCCCGTGCGGGCGGTATTCGGTCTCGGGGACGGTCCCTGATGCAGGTCCCTGCGCCCGCGTCTTTGTCTTTCTTTGTTCTTCCTTCTAGGCCTTTCTGCACGCTGGTGCGGCACATCTTCAGGACGGAAACCCGGGAGAGTCTTCCTTACACGTGCGGACAGGGTGCCCTTCCGAAGTCTGAGCCCATTCCTGGGGGAGAAAAGCAAATCCGAAAACTCACGCATTTTCGCTTTGCACCAAGAAGTTTGTAAGAGGTTGGACTGAACTTGCAGGAGAGCACGGGACTCGGAACAGCTTTGTCTCCAAAGAAGAGTGCTCCGGCCCTCGGCGCCCACGCCAGCCTGTCGGGCAACGGCCAGGAGGGCCGGACGGCCATTTCCAGCCAGAATCTCTGCAATATAGTAACAGCCTTAACAACACCCCCTCCCAGCCCGTCCCCTCGTGCTCAGAGCCCCACTCAGTCAGGGCTCGGATCGTGGGGCGTGTCCCAGACCCTCCAGCCACCTCACCTTCGTCCTTGTGGGGCCTCCCAAGCTGTTTTAGGCCATTGCCCCGCACCCCCTCCCCGGGTCTATCAGGAAGATTGCTCTAGCACAGTGAGAAGCAGCGTGTCCCTGAGGCGGCAGAGGGAAGCTGTGCTTTAGTGGGTCAGCGGGAGGCGAGCTTGCAGAGCCGCCGGTCAGCTCCCCTGCGGGGCTGCTTTCCTGCTCATTGATGAATCTGAGCCACTAGGCTCTGCTGACGGCAGCTCTGGAAGGTCAGCTGTTCAGAGCAGATGTTCTAAACCCCATGTAATTTTTAAGTGACTTACAGTACCACGGACATGCATTCATGGCAGACGCAGACCATGTGACTGGCCAAAAGGTTTCCTGGCAAATAAAAAGGTATTTTATTATGTATGTTGTAAGAGTGAACCTTTATTTGAACAGCTGACGCTAACAGCCCAAGTCTGTTCTCCCTTTGGTCAGACATCGGAGCTTCTGTTTTGAGATCTGCTGCCTGGTGTTTGCAGGGGACGCGCAGTGTGTGGGGCCCGGGAGGGCGTTGCCATGTCAACTTGGGGAGGAGGATGTCCTGCATGGCCCCACAGTGCTCCAAGAGCTCCTGCGGCCTCTGGCATCCTTCACCAAGCATTAGCAATCGTCACCAACATCCACGACCGCCAGCCCCTCCCTGCTGAGTGTCCTGTGTCCTAACCCTGGGAGCGCCGTACCCTCGAACGGAGCAGGTTCATGTCCGCACGCTTTTGCCTGCAGAATGGGCCCCTGGCAGGCTGCTTACTGCCCTCAGAGCCCGCTGCTAGGGGGGCTGCACTGGAGAAGGTCAGAGGGGGCCCCTGGCTCTGACTTGGAGTTCGGGAAAGCCAGCCTCCGGGGTGAGCTTGGTAATGGTGGACAGTGTGCCTTGAACTTGATTTCTGACCTGTTGACTGTCGTTCACAATAGCGTAAATGTTGTCTGATGTAAAAAGTCCTGGTCTCTGTCTTTGCCCTTTGCCCTTTAACTTGCAAATTGGCCTGAAAGGAAGGAAAAGGTCTGTTTTCCCGGGAGGGTCAGTTCTCTCTCAGCCCAGGGAGCGGAACCCCTGCACGGAGAAGCTGGCAGAGTCCAGTGTGCCGATGGACACTGGCTCTTACACTCGGGAAGTGCCCGGGAGGCAGAAGTGACTTTTCCTTTCCCTTTAATATATTTCCAAGTCTAAATTCATCATTTTAGTACAAATATAAAATAAGATGTGAAAAAACAAACTTCAAAATACTTTAATGGCCAGTGTGGCTTTTACATAAAGCAGGAGTTTTTATACTAGTAAAGACTCCTCATTCATTTGCTAGTAACACCACGTCCAGGTGGTTTTGAATGAGTGTGGTCACACAGTCTTATTTGGAAATGGGAGGACACTTCACATGTGTCCTCCGTGTGGCAGGAGGCATGGAGTACCTTTCGGGTGTGCGTTTCCAATGGGCTGGGACGCGCGGCGTGCTGTGGGGCCGCGCTGTTACTTCCGATAGCTGGACGCACCGCGTCAGGCTGAGGAAGAAACCGGTTCAAACAGAGTGGCCTCACCCGAGGACAGGCCCTGCAGAGGACTGAGGTGTGAGAGGCACTGTGTGCGGCCAGCGCCCCCTGCAGGCACTCCGCTTCGGTGTAGCTGATGCTGGTGCTCCCAGTTCACTCCGCTCAGCTGGGAGGCTGTCTGTCTGCACACCAGCTCAGTCAGTTCTGAGACAGCGGGAGGCTCACTCCCGTCAGGACCGTGGTGTCCAGGGAGAAGTATGATGGGGAATTACACATGTTGCTAAAGACTGAAATGAGGAACTATGTCATTTGAGGACATATGTGAATCATGGAGGAATTCACTAACCTACGTGGGAAATTATTATTATTATTATTATTAATTATTATTATTAATTAATGAGAAAGAAACCGAAGAAGCAATCTCCTGCCTCTTTACGCATAGGTCACCATATCCTGGTTCCCCCTACGACTAAGGGCGTGAGGCTAGACCATAATGATGCTTCCCGGCGGGCGGGAAGGGGGGTGCATGTCTGGATTCTGGGGGGTCACAGACAAGTGTGGGTTCGTCTTCACTTCAGCATGAGCGGCAGAGGTGGGAGACACGGCGCACAGCTTCTCTTCCTGGGACCCTCACCTCTCCAGCGGCGAGCCGACGGGGCTGAGAGGACGTGGAGCACCGCGGGCGCGAGCAGGGACCCTGGTGCTCGCTGCACGCCGCTGCGTGGTGGCGGACGCCTCTCCCCGGGGCGTGGGGACGAAGCTCCCTCCTGGGGCGGTGACGGCGGGACTGAGTGCCGGCACAGAGGAGCGGGTTCCATGGTCAGCCATGTGGTGCCCAGTTCAGTGCCAACAGACACACAATCCGTCACACACTTTCCCGATCCCATCACGTGTGTATGAAAAGGTTATCCTAGGTTCCCCAAGTTGAAATGAAGCCAAGCTCACAAGCACAACAAATACTTCTCTACTGGTTCATGGTTTTTTTTTATTACTTGTTATAAGCAAGGTAATGTTCTTTCCATAAATAACTACATAGTTTATAATGTTAGCCAAACTCTGTTGTTCTGTATCATCTTAACAGGACTCAATGAAGAATTAAAATAGCCAATCAGTCTTTATCCTCCATAAGCAATAAGTCCACGTCAGACTGGAGTGCCACTGGCGAGCTGAGCCGTGACCATGTCAGCGCAGTGTCTGCGGGCGGTCAGAGGTCAGAGCGCAGTGTCTGCAGGCGGTCAGAGCAGGGCGCGGCGCTGTGGGGAGCCACAGGGCCGGATCAGGTAGAGGCGTCTTTGAGGACATTTCTGTCACTGACCAGAGGGTGCAGCTTCTGAATCGGATGTAATAAAGTTCTAAGTAATAACTTGAAAACATAATTACTAATAAAGGAAAAAGACCAACTTATTGAATTAAGCAAACAGAACTTTCTGTAGTCAGACGGCTTGTGAGCTCATGTGGTTTGTTTCATGGCTTATCTGCTTGTCTTCTCCCCTTCCTGTGTGTGATCTGAAAGTGCAAGGACACTGCCCAACCTCCCGGGAGTCCACACGTGGCTGGTGTGTGGACTGGGTCCTAGCAACAACATTCCAAAATATGACAGACGTCAAACAGACTTGTGTCTGACCAGTGACATCAGGCGAGCGATCATAAATGGCTACATGTGCCGCTCAGCCACAGTGACCTCAGAGAGGCGGCGTGAGGGCAGTGTGCAGGATCACGTCTCCTTGCCCCTCACAAAGAAAAGCAATAAAATAAGGAGGCAGATGAGACCCTTGTATCCTGTTCAGCTGCCACTCAGCACCAGAGCAAGAGGTCATTAACCCTGACTTCATTTATGGAACCAGTGAGAGCAGCTAACACAAATAAAATGATGGCCTTTTTGATCTATGAAGACGCTTCTTGAGTATCTTGTTTTTCTCCACAAAAAAATGCCATTCGAAAGAGAACATTTTGGTAGTGCTTGGTTCTCGTGACGGGCAGGCAGGATGCTGCGGGGAGGGGTCCTGGATTGCAAGAGGGCACAGATCAGGCTGAAGGACCCCACGGGTGCATGATCAGGATAGAGAGGGACCGCAGGAGGGCTCTAGGGCATGTTCATCTCGTCTCACCCAGTCCCAATCGGCCAGACACCAGCAGCAAACTAACCTACTATTATAGTACAGGTCAGAGCATCTGCCCCCTGGTGGTCAGTGCATTTTACAGCAACTGGTTGAACAGTTAAATGGTCGGACATTTAGCATGTTAGGCTTTTATTATATAGGATTGCATTTATATTAAAAAGAAAGGAAATAAGAGGATGGGGTTGGGACAGTTTTGTGCTGTATAGCTGAAATACTGTTATCAGCATTTTTTGAAAAACCTCTCTTTTCAGAGGTTCCAACTCATCCATAAAAATTTGCTTCAGGCTTAAAAGTCTTGAAAGATTTTTTTAGTTATGTATTTTTAAACAAATATATCTTGTTTTTTATATTATAGGAGGGAAATAAATGGAGTTTACTAGTTCAATTTGGCAGTAATATGACTTTTTGACAACCTAAAATCTACTTATTGCATAGTCTATTGATGGTTTTTAAAAGAATCAATTATTGAAATTGAGAAAATTGCCTGCCTCATGGGAGTAGCAATCTATCTTCAAGAAATTTTAACACTTGTAGATCTGTATCACATTCTCTGGATTCTAATAGAGGGTCACACGGTAATGATTGTGATTATCACCATCCTTAGAAGTTATCAGGTGATATAGGTTTGGAATATATATAATATATTACTAGGTAGATTAAAGGGGAAAACTCCCATAAATTTAGTATGTCAAATAAATACTATATATATATATATATATATATATATATACTTAAGTATTGCACAGGCATTTCTCTTTCAGAATGAGAATAAGCA